TTAATTCCAAGGGCTTTCGCCCGAAATAGCCTCGTTCCCAAGCACTATAACAATATTTCTATATCTTCTATATCTACTATATAATCTATATTTCTATATCTTCATGTGTTCATATTATAATATAGAGAGTTTTAATGATTTCCAAGTGTCAAGGGTCTATTGTACTTTAACGTACGAGTAATGCTCACCTCATATGCAAGATATTCTTCAATTACCTCATAGYTGAGTTCTTCAAAGAAGATTTGAAACCTGACAAAGTAGGCCCTTTAGATGAAATGTTTTACTCGTTAGTACATACATATATACCAAATCTGTTGCTGCTTTATTATTGCGTGACATGTCCTTTATTTTTTTTTTACTTTTTACTCTTACTTCTTACTTGTGCGACTGTCAAACAGATAAAGCTGACTAATCTTGWGCCAATCAGAAGAAAGGAACAAAGCCATTGTATATTGAGTGTTATGAATCACTTAAGCGAATGAATATAATATCGACAACTTCCCCCCCTCTTTCCCCATTTTATTCGCTCTTGCAGTAGTGAATGTTGCGGTTTTGTTTAGATCTTACCTAGGATCGGCGTCGGGATCTAGATATACACCTCTGTCTTCTTGGAGTTTTGTGAGAAATTTACTCTATCAGATGTAAAACAATCATGGCTAAGATTTTTTGTGCTATGGGAAAGATTTTGAATCTAATTGCTTACAAATAAAGCAACAATGAAAGAAAATGCAAAACGAAAACAAMCGTTATTCTTTTATTTTTTTGCTCAACGCTTTTTTAGCAGTCGGTTAGAGAAAAGTGGGGTATTGATCATGATCTAAGCATTTGAATTAAYTTGAATAACGCGACCTTCAAAGTAGATAAATGTACTCCAAGCACTCAATCTGTTACTCTGTTGTCGCAAAATGTGTTACTCCTTTTGCTTTTACTTTTTTAAATTTTATGCTCATTTATTTTCTTTAGMTTCATGAGCTTTACTTTTTTACCTTGTAATTGTCTGACGGCCATCTTGAGGAGGAAATTGTGAGTTTGAAAATATCTTCACTATAAACAAAGTAAAGAAAAAACACAATGTTCAGTAAGCTGAACTCATTTGATGCTCCTACCAAGCACGGCATCGTCATCAATATCGTCGTCGTGGTCTTCATAATCATCACAATCATTATTAATTATCATCTTTATCATCATCATCATCATCATCACCATCGTCATCGCCATCATCATCACCATCATCATCACCATCATAATCACCACCATCATAATCACCATCATCATCATCATCATTATCAACATCATCACATGGGTGGCATGGGTGGCGTTCGCGCCAACGCGTCGTCTTTCACCGCTGTGAGTCCAACGGGTCGCCACATGTGAATTGTTTGATGTGATGTTCTCTCCTATGCAACGAGGGTTTTCTCTGGGTTCTCCGGTTTTCCTTCTCCGTAAAACAATCTATATGTGAGTTGAGAGTTGTATGTATAGAATACTCGAATGTAGCAAGGAGTGTGTATGGAGGATACACGGCCACAAAGGCTATTAGCTTTAATGCCTACCTTGTATAAATTAAATAAAAACGATTATCATCGTCATTATCAACATTAAAATCACCATCACCATCATCATTCTGATCATCATTATCATCACCATCGCCATCATCATCATTACCATTAGCATCATGACCATCTTCATYATTATCAGCACCATCATAATCGTCATTATCATCATCGTATACACCAATATTACCACATAATGTGTTGGATTGAAAAAACTCCAAACGTTAAAGTCAAATTCGATCTATGCATAAGTTAACCGTACCCTGACGTTGACGTTGACGTTGAATTTGTGGGGACGCAGAAACATGTATGAAAGGAAATTCCAATGATATAAGAACAAGTACTCAGTCTACCTACATGCAGGGCGGTCCACATTTTTCTGAACAACCAAGTTTGTTTTCTTGGTACAGCATTTGTAATTCATTCAAACAGGAAACTAAAAAGCAAAAATATAATTTATTATATATTGGGCTATTCATGTCAATGCATTCWTAATTTTATAATTTAAAACAATTCTAGTTATTTTTGAATTGCATCACAATGCAGAACAACAATCAATAAAAAAGTTCAGTTATGGGAAAAGAATGTCTGGGTTTTTTTAAGCCTCGTCCGATCGTATTAAATGAACAAACTGGGCTGTACGGTATTGATAAAAATGTAAAGGGAAAGGTAATAGACCCCTTCACAGTTCCCTGCGCCATCTTGAGAGGTAACCGTGCCTTTGCATCGAAGCGAAACGAACGGTAAGCTTGCAATGATAGAACATGTACATAATTGTTCAAGGTGTTAAAAAAGGTCTCTATCATTGCAAGCTCACCGTTCGCCTAGCTTCGATGCAAATGCACGGCTACCTTTCAGGATGGTGCAGGGAACTGTGAAGGGGTCTTTTGTAATTGGACCCGTATGTAACGAGTAAACAGATAACTTGCCATAATCATTTTTTTTCCGTGGGAATAGAAAGATATGTTAAAAGCTATTATTTTCCGTTTTGGCTCAACTACCCAAAGTTGGAATAATATATGTATTATTTTCATTCTACAATTTGAATGGTTATCGCTGTCTAAGTGGCCCTGGTTTTTAACATTTGGCTATTATTAATGGCTTTTTGTTTTACTGGTTCATGATTATATYATATAGCATAAAAACTACTAGCATTCTATCACGAATCTGATTGGCTAACGTACTCAACATCTATCCTGTGATAGATAGCGAGTAGCGAAAAATAAACAAGTTTACGATCAAGTTTTGCCAAAATCTCTGCTCGTTCTCTAAAAAATCGATTGTAGAAAAGACAAGACTGTATCAAGGAAAGGAAYTGAGATTTTAAACGGTACAGATAAGTAAAAACTGAAGAATTATGGCAATTTTAACCCGAAAGAGCGGCCGTCAGATTTCACWGAGATTTTCATGTGCAAACTTTACAACGGACAAACAACTGACTACTGATATAATAATGGCATTTTAAAAGGATCCCTTCAAAGAACAGAAAAAAATCAAAAAGACAACTTATTCAAATGTATTCAGGAAGATTTTTAAAAGGTAAGAACAGAGAAAACTATAAAGAAAGTGCACGGTTTGAATGATCTGACAATAAAGTATTTGTAAATAAATTATTTTAGTTTATCACTCATTAATTAGAAAAAATGATCCCAAGAACTGTTAAGATAAAAAACAAAGAGAAAGAGAGTTTTGACAGTAATAATAGAGACAAAAAGCTATAAAAATGCTTTACGTTAATACTTCGCGGGTTCACCGTCGCTTTGTACAGTAACGTTTTCAGTCCCTTTTTTTTTTTTTTTTTTTTTTTTTTCTTCAATATTATAATATTAGCTAGTATGTTTATGCTAAAACAATTAGACTACTCCTTCTCGTTTTCTATGATTCATATAGTCGATTCGCTCATCGACTATCTATTGACTCATAGAAAACTCCACCTCGTAGTCTAATTGTTAATAGTATAAGGCACCAGGTCACTATTGGTGGGTGTACGATGACCAAATTTGTTTGGATTGATTGTTATTTAAATTGCCAACCAGAAATGTATTGCACATACAATGAAGCAAAGTGACAAAACCTATTTTCAAAATTGTTGGCACATTAACACCATAATGAAAATGTTTATATAAACATTAGGTCCATAATATATATTCAAGTTCGAACGCTTGGAGACCCTAATGACCCACTTCCGAGATATGCTTCGCTTGTCACGCACAAAGGTTTCAGTATGAGGCTACGTGCTAAATGCTCAGTCATTCGTGACAGGCGGTAAGAATAATTTTAATGTAAGAAACTAAAGTTAAGCACTTAAACTTTTGTCTTTCTATTTTATTTCTCTCAATTGTTTTCTTTATACATTGTAATCACTATATACATATATACTTTTTGCTATATAACTAGTTRGCTTTGTGTTCTATGTAATTTAATTTAGCACGTAGTCTCATACTTAAACCTTCGTGCGTGACAATGGAAGCATATCTCGGAGGTGGGCTATTGCACAGTCATTGTCATTGAAGACACGGAACGGTACGCCCTTGCTGTGAGTTTGAAGTCATACGAATCTGCTTCAAATGATACTCACTGACAGTTAGATTCAAAACGTCACATACTCTTTGGCCCTTATTTGGAAACCTGTATTCCATGCAGCCACAGGTTTCTAACTGACGGTAGGCTAGGCACGAATCCTTGCAAACCTTCAAGAGAGTAAAAAAGAAAATCAATTTCAAATAAATCAATTTACAAAGTAAAAGAGAAGAAAGAAAATTAAAGGAAAAAATAAATAAATRAAAGATAAACAAAGGGAGGAAAAAAAGAAGGAAGGAAGAAAGGAAAAAGCCGTTTAGTTTCGATTCCCAATCTGTAATTGGTGGCCGACTAAGATTTACTCGATCAAAAGAATAGAAAAAGACCTGTATGGCATTTACATATAATACACATTTTCTTCTTGGGCGTAATAATTTAACATTTCAGACCACGTTTCAGACCATTCCCTATAGACTATCATTTCTTTGTTTAACAGTTTCACATGAAAAGACTCATGAATATAGATACAACTCGAACAAAGAATCTTATTCTTAGGGAAATGGCAAGTGGTCTAAAATGGAAAAATATAGCGAGCCGAAAAGGTCTGTCTATTATGTATGGTCACTTACCGTTGAAGAATAGGAAATATTATATCGATTTCTATAAATATTGTTCGATTCGATGTCTTCACTGTGACGGCAACTTTTATTTTTAAAAGGATCCTCACGAATTATGTGTACCTTCGGGATGACGAATAGAAAAATATCAGAAAAGCCACAATGAAATTGAAATTYCCATTTTGATGAATATTGGTGAACAAATAACGCTATAATGGATCATTGTCTGATAGGCAAAAATAGTCCAGTTCATCTGAAATAGTGACTTGGAAATGACGCCACTGCAAAACTGCGAAAAAGGCGAAAAACAAAAACCTGTCCACCATTGCAATCAAAACATAAAATGTATCAGTTATTATATTACTGTTATAGACCTCTTGTTAGTAACCTCTTATTAACAACGGGTTTTTTTTTTTTTTTTTTTTCATTTGGTGGCCTGGAAATCCATAATTTTATAGGGGAAACATGACACCTTAATTTTGCAAATCCATTCTGATTGGCTATTTTTATAAAATTTAATAATAATAGTTATAAATATCTTATTTTGAGTAAATTATCTACCTGTCTAATTCCCGCCGAAGTGGAATATCCCGGAGATATGCTAAAACCTTTYTCTAGTGGAGAAGACATTTCGCCTTGCTTAGATACAACTACACGAATTCCAGCCTCTTGGGTTAGTTGTCCCAAATATTCGTGCTGTTCAGTGTTTAACTCTATTATGAGACCTTGAAAATATATCATTTTGAATAAACATTAGTAGGGTTTAGTCTGGGTGTATGTATTACTGTACATCTGCAACCTTTCATACCATTTGTAGGACCAGGTTTATTTGATCTCAATGTTGGCTTAAAATTTCCAAACGAATCTTTTCCAGAATTGAAGACAAAACAGTTTCCATATTTGTAGTGCCAAAAGTGGCTCCAAAGTTTTTCGGTATAATTCCTGCAAGAAAATGCGCAAAGGAAATAAGCCCCCCCTCTCTAATAAGCCCCCCCCCCCTTTTTTAAAGGCAAAAAAAAAATGTTACAATTTATTTATTTCAAATGCCACCGTATACAATTCGTACATTGGCGCATGGCCAAAGAAAATACATTCATCAAAACCTCATCAATCAAGATCTTATTATATATGATAAATAGTTATATCATTGTCCTCTTAATTGAAAGCACCCGTGCACATATTTGCAAATGAGGCTTTGGATTTTTTCTGGAGGGTTGAACAAGTTCTGGAAAAATTAGTTTCACTCTTTTTTTTTTTTTTTAATTCATTAAATTTCTGCTTTCCATAAAATCAAACAAATTCTTTCTCAGACTCACCAGGAAGTGTCACTCGTCCTTTATTTCCCTAAGTTCACACCTAGTACATATRCGGTCTTCGGGTTTTCTATGCGGCCTTTTATAACGCCCCACTTCTATCTCTAGATAATGACAACTAATTCTCATGCGTGTGAGAGCGTTTCTATGCTTGATGTTAGGAACGCGGAAGAGATATGTTTCAGGGGAATAATTAAATTTAAAGATGCGATATGTCTGGAGTTTATTTTATATTCGACAGGGCGAGTAAACATCACATAACGAGTAACAAGACGCAAGACGCCTGGGAAGGCGCGAATAAAAATGTCGCCCATTGATGTAAGATACAAAAGAAGAGTTATAAATTMTCGAACGCTATATAAACTTACATGTCGAAYTTAAAACACGAATGTAGAATATAAAACTTGCATGTCGAATTTAAAAYATGAATGTAGAATATAAAACATSAATGTAGAATATAAAACTTGTATGTCGAATTTAAAACATGAATGTAGAATATAAAACTTGAATGCTGAAGTTCAAAACTTGAGCGTAAAATTCGAAACTTTGAATGTCAAGTGTAAAATTTGTATGTTGAATTTGAAACTTGAATGTCAAATTCAAGGCATGAATTTTGGCGGGGATCGTACGCCATAGCTTTCCAGGCTACTTTYCACTGCAGCAAAATCATTGCTATACATGCTTTTTAAGACAGAAAGAAATTTACTCCTAACTCCCATCTTCTTTACTTTCTCAAACAACCTATTTCGTGGTATTGTATTGCTTTAGAGAAGTCGATAAAACAGTTGAAAAGGAGATTTTTCCTTTTCCTAGTTAAACGCCCCTCTCTTTTTGCCCCCCTGYCCTCCCTCCCCCTTTTGTTCAGAACATCTCTTTTTAGCTTGCTTTGTTGATGTTACCGTGTTTTAATTTTGCTCTTCTCAATAATCGTAAATTATACTTGAGAGAATAACACAGGTGAATCAAATAATAAAAATGTTACAATGCTATTACATCCTGACAGCGTACAACTTACTGCGTTTTGACTAAATCAATAAGCCCCCCTCCCCTCCTTCAATTAAGCCCCCTCTCTCCAATAAGCCCCCCCTCCCCAAAACGTGCCTGAAATAAATAAGCCCCAAGGGGGCTAAATAGAGGATTTACGAGAAAATGAAAAATAAAATGAAAAATGAATTAGCGTAAAGAAATAATTGAAGTAAGAGAAAGAGGAACACTTATTTAAACAAAACGGTAAACACATCAAAGAAAACGCTAAAAAGTAAATCGCTCTATTTTTTCAAAAATGACATAAATAGATCAAATGAAACAGACCAAACGTATACAATGTCTGGATGGATATTCCGCCATAGAATCAGAACTAACTTTAAATCAGTTGGTTCATTAAAGTAATTAACTTACGTGCAAGAAATTCCTCTATAAGTGCATGATAAAATCATATCGCTAAACTGATGACCAGTCTCTCTCATAAGATCTTCTGGCTGGGATGCCAAGTTAACAGAAAGTTCCTCTGTATCTCTCGATTCTTTGGTGAGGGTTGAGGGGTCTGGCTGGCTTAATGTCCCACTAAATGCAGCTTCTTCTTTCTCTTCTTTCGTTAATACCTTTGCTGTAAATCGAAAGAACGATGTGTCCATCACTTAACTATTTTCATTTACCGTGGASTTAAAAAGCAGATACTTACCAGTTGGTGTAGTAGCTGCACTAGTTGTTGTTTGATTTGTTGTCGGAGATGCTGGTAATGGTCCAAGTAAGTAAGACAGAAATATCGGTTCAGCACCGGCATAAACATTGCTGTAGAAGTCTAATTTTACTGCCACTTAATCGTAAACCTGATGCGCGGGAGGTCATGGCTCCTAGGCCGCTAGCATAAAAGGTGTTAAACTAATATCTGAGTAGAAGGTGGTGCATTTGCTCTGGTCATCGYCTTGGCTTGGATAACCACGTAAATTGGCGATCCCGTCTTAGTCACTTAGAGTCGTTAAACAAAGAGGGCCACATGTTTGATCAGTGCTAAATTGGCAATTGTTACTCGTTATCCTTTCGAAATAAAGACGATTACTGATATTATTATTATCCTTGATCAGCARACATTCAAAGCGTTACTATATCTATAGACTAGTTCAGAAAAACAGATTTATTTAGAACAAAAACTTTAAAAAAACATTACCCTTTGCTGTTGTTGGTTTCGCTTTTGCAGCTGTTGTGGGTACTGTAGTAGTTGTTGTTAAAGGCGTTGTAGTTGTAGTTGGAGTCTGTGTTGTTGTAGTTGTTGATTGGTTCATCTCAAGTGCAGCATATTTCCATTTGCAGTACAAATAATTAAAGCAAATTTTATCTTCCRATGACCGTCGCTTCCGATTACTGGAAGAAGGTGTTGCAGTCTCGTCTGGAAAAGAGAGAAAATTATACACAGGATTCTGTTTTAAAAAAGTTTATTTCATTTTTTGTGGCTACTGCCTCGAAGAGGCGAAGCCACTATGCCATCGGTTGTGTGTCTGTGAGTAAGAGTGTAACACCACAGGAAGCCCAAAAAGTACTGGAACAACCAATCAGCAGTCAGTCGATTACCGAAGTCTGTCTCGTAGACAATTGCTAAACTTCGGAACCAATCACCCCTCAAATGAAGAAACGTCGGCATTATTCTTTCTTTTCGATTAYTGTCGATTTGCGATCGCTACCTCGTGCTTGACGTGCAGCTCGTACTTGGCTAACTTCTTTCCACGATTTTAGGTAAATAAAGTTTATTTTGCTAAAAATTGAACAATTTCACTTATCACAGCATTCAAATCGTATTTCTCTTCGGAGGATAATTGAGGTCCATTGTGGGATTGATAGTATCTCCTTAATATTTATACCAAATTGTAGTACTTTACACTGCTGTTTAAGATATCTAATCACYACAAATAAAAAATCATAGAATGAAAGGGGTGCATACGCAAATGGTGAATTAATTTAACCAGTCCGACTTGCATAGCATTACACACACAAAAATAAAAACAATAAATAAGAGGAAGGAAAATCAGTGGAGTTTTTCGGCAAAGRATCCTCATTACTAGATCCGTCCTTGAATGGAATGTTCTAAAAAACATAATATGAGTATTGAAACTTCAGRCCACGAGTTCGAATAGATGAATTCACATACTTACTGTGGGTAAAGAAATTCTCAAACGAGCTGTGTAGTTCTGCAGATATTTTAGACTTTCTAACAATATTCAAATTACAGAGAGTCACTGAAGGAAATTCAATGCTCTGCAAAAAGAAAAAAAGKAATTTATTTGGCAAAATAGAAAATACATATTATAACTAGAATAAAACAAGTAAATCGCCTCTATAAATTAAAGTATTAACTGCACTCGTTTATCGCTCTGGGCTCGGTTGCACAAAGCCTGGATAGCGCTATCCAATTTGTATCGAAAGTAGGACTACATGCTGTCCAATTTGGAAATCAAATTTTTTTAAATTCAATTATTTTCAAATTTTACAACAACGTAAWTAACACATTCTGATTGGCTGAGAGCTATGATCAATAAGAGGACAGACACATGGATGACGTAATGTTTTTGGAAACAAGACTGGCCGGTWRGATTTTATCGTAAGGACTGTGATTTTGCGAATTTATTTTGCTAATAAAAGTCGACAATGGAACCAGAAGAGGAACCAAACTTTGAATTTAATCTTGCTGATAGTCTTGCCGACGAATATTTAGTTCTGGAGGCAGAAAAGATAGAGCAAGACGTGAAAAATTCATCTCGCTTTGCAACTTGCGAAGAAAAAGACGTCTTGAATGAGCTTGTGTCAAGTGCTAACGCGAAGGGCACAAAAAGAAACACCAAATGGGTATTAAAACTGTTGCAAGGTAGGTCAGCTCATTTTTTTCAAGAAAATATGCRTTAAAACCCAGCTAATATTGAAAAGGATAAAGAAATCTAMAGAAATAATCTTACTTTCACTTTTAGTTACTTACGAGTTGTTGATGCAATTTTCAGAATGAAGCCATGAGCGAAAAATTTGCAAGCCCTTGTTGGATCTAACAGAGGCCRAGCTAAATGACATCCTGAGGAGGTTTTATGCAGAGGCCAGAAACCAGAAAGGTGAAGAGTATAGCCGCTCCTCGCTGCTTGGGTWCAGGAATGCTGTTGAACGCCATTTTGCAGTCAATGGTAAAGCAATGAAGCTCACTAACAACCCAGCATTTTACAGCTCTAACAAGATATTGGAGAGCAAGCTGCAGGTCAACAAAAGAGAACAGAAACAAAATACCAAACACAAACCAGTCATTSAGCCAGCCGATGTGAGTAAAGTCAAGAAAAATCCTTTTTTGAGCCACGAGAATCCTTACGGCCTCCTTCGGCAAGTGTGGTTCATAGTGACCCTGTATTGGTGCCGCCGTGGTTGTGAGGGCCAAAGACAGCTCCGCCGAGAAAGCTTTACTTTTGATCTTGACGGTGAAGGAAATGAATATGCARCCATGACTCACGAGGAGCAGACCAAAARCCATCAGGGTGGCTTTTGTGRCAAGCAGAGTTATKAAAACGAAACACGGTTGTAWTCMACAGGTGAAACTGGCGATTCGCTGTGGTGCCTGAAGTACTATCTTTCCAAACTTAACCCCAAACAACAAGCGTTCTTTCAAAGACCAGTGCCAATCTTTACACCAGAGGACCCAGTGTGGTATGAAAACAAGCCTCTAGGTRTCAACAAGTTGGGTGATATGATGAAGTCAATCTCTATCGGAGCCGGCTTGTCAAAAGTCTACACGAACCACAGCGTCAGAGCAACAGCTATCACCATGTGGTCAAATGCTGGAACCCCGACTCGTCACATAATGAGCATCTCTGGACATACCAATGAACAGAGTATTCTATCTTATAACAGAAGACCATCGKYCCAGCAACTAAASACCTGCTCGGACGTGATTTCCAGTGCATTGACCGATTCAGAGGGCGAGAGTAGARGGCTTGATCGAGATCCAAGGGCTGTTTCGTCTGCTTCCACTTCTGTACAGGTTGTACAGTCTGAGATGGCCATTAACTYCATTCCAGAGTCGATCTTCAATGGCTGCTCCATCCAGAACGTGAATGTCTATGTTGTCAAGCGAAATTGACATTGCTTTTCTTAGCTGAACTTATTAGTAAGCTTCGTTTTTTAGAACCTTTGAGTTCTGACTCAAACTCTTTTCGACTTAACTAAAAAAGCCATTTATAAG